TGTGGCCAAAATAGTTAAAAACAAAAAGTTAGCATTTAGGAATTATAAAAAAACCCAGAGTGAGGAAGACAAAATGATCTATAAGATTAGGCAGAAAGAGGCTAAGCAAGTTATAAGAGCTTCCAAATCACACACAGAAGAGAAAATAGCACAGTCAGTAAAAAAGGGGGATAAAACATTTTTTAGATACATAAATGAGAAAAGAAAAGTAAAACAAGGATTAGTTAGATTAAAAACAAAAGAAGGAAGGTATGTAGAAGAGGATAAAGGTCAGGCTGACTGCCTCAATGAATATTTTTGTTCTGTATTTACAGAAGAAAATGAAGGAAAGGGACCTCAGTTGAGCAAAAGGATAAATGAGTCATTTATTACACGTGAGTTTACAGAGGAAGAGGTTCTATTTCAACTGTCAAAAGTAAAGACAAATAAGTCAATGGGACCTGATGGAATACACCCAAAGCTATTAAAAGAGCTTAGTGGTGTACTAGCAAAACCATTAACAGATTTATTTAACCAATCATTGTTAACAGGAGTAGTCCCAGAAGATTGGAAGTTAGCGAATGTTGTGCCCATTTACAAGAAAGGTAATAGGGAGGAGTCGGGCAACTATAGGCCAGTAAGCCTTACTTCAGTAGTGGGAAAGTGATGGAAACCATGTTAAAGGATAGGATTGATGAACATCTAAAAACACATGGATTTCAAGATCAGAGACAACATGGGTTTACTTCAGGGAGATCATGCCAAACTAATCTTATTGATTTTTTTGATTGGGTAACTAAAATTATAGATCAGGGTGGTGCAGTAGACATTGCTTACCTAGATTTCAGTAAGGCTTTTGACACTGTTGCACATAGAAGGCTTATCAATAAACTGCAATCTTTAAGTTTGGATTCCAATATTGTTGAATGGGTAAGGCAGTGGCTGAGTGACAGGCAACAGAGGGTTGTAGTTAATGGAATATATTCGAAGCTTGGACTTGTCACCAGTGGGGTACCTCAGGGATCTGTACTTGGACCCATTCTCTTTAATATTTTTATTAGTGATATTGCAGAAGGTCTTGATGGTAAGGTATGTCTTTTTGCTGATGATACTAAGATATGTAACAGGGTTGATGTTCCAGGAGGGATAAGCCAAATGGCAAATGATTTAGGTAAACTAGAAAAATGGTCAGAATTGTGGCAACTGACATTTAATGTGGATAAGTGCAAGATAATGCATCTTGGACGTAAAAACCCAAGGGCAGAGTACAGAATATTTGATAGAGTCCTAACCTCAACATATGAGGAAAGGGATTTAGGGGTGATTATTTCTGATGACTTAAAGGTAGGCAGACAATGTAATAGAGCAGCAGGAAATGCTAGCAGAATGCTTGGTTGTATAGGGAGAGGTATTAGCAGTAGAAAGAGGGAAGTGCTCATGCCATTGTACAGAACACTGGTGAGACCTCACTTGGAGTATTGTACACAGTACTGGAGACCGTATCTTCAGAAGGATATTGATACCTTAGAGAGGGTTCAGAGAAGGGCTACTAAACTGGTTCATGGATTGCGGGATAAAACTTACCAGGAAAGGTTAAAGGATCTTAACATGTATAGCTTGGAGGAAAGACGAGACAGGGGGGATATGATAGAAACATTTAAATATATAAAGGGAATCAACACAGTAAAGGAGGAGACTATATTTAAAAGAAGAAAAACTACCACAACAAGAGGACATAGTCTTAAATTAGAGGGACAAAGGTTTAAAATAATATCAGGAAGTATTACTTTACTGAGAGGGTAGTGGATGTATGGAATAGCCTTCCAGCTGAAGTGGTAGAGGTTAACACAGTAAAGGAGTTTAAGCATGCGTGGGATAGGCATAAGGCTATCCTAACTATAAGATAAGGCCAGGGACTAATGAAAGTATTTAGAAAATTGGGCAGACTAGATGGGCCGAATGGTTCTTATCTGCCGTCACATTCTATGTTTCTATGTTTCTATGCATGATTGGCTATGTGCTACGTGGGGGAGTGTGAGATGTGAGGAAGTGGGTGGTGACAAATTAGACTGACCTCAGTGCCAATTAGGAGCCGGGCCAGCAACAAGTTTCCCACCACCCTCCCTTTTGCTGCTTTGGGCCCAGGGGGTTGTCACAGCGAGGCGAGGGAATGTCCTTGCCAAATAAGGAATTATTTGGTAGATTAGATGAAAAGGGGGATAATGGCCGGGTCTCATCCTCCCCATGTCTCTTATGGTGAACCTGGAGGAGGTACCAGGTTGGACGTGTCCCCACTGGGTTGTAAGTCGACCGGTGGGGAGCATTATGGTTGGGCCACATCAAGCGGAAACCCGATTGGTGGGGAGCCCTGAAAAGGAAGATGTTTTTATTATGCCAAGAGGGGGAAGGTGAGAGCCTTTGGGAAGAAGTACTTAGATTGGCAAGGATGGTTTCTTTGGTTACTGTATAACTATATGCAAATTGTTTATGTTAATTTATGATATTTATTATTTATGTTATGCGTTAAAGGAGGTATACAGTATTTGGTTGTGTTAATAAATGCTGTGGCCTGTTTTTTCTAAGAAGTTGACTGTCGTTATTTAAAGGGGTAAGTTGTGTTTTATGAGGGGATGAAGGGAATGCTATCCAATGCCCACTACGTACATACATGTATTTGGATGTATCTATTGTAGGATAAGTTGTAAATCTCAAGCACATAACAGATTTAGAGCTACCATCCCTATTATCAATCAATATTTTAATTTCATTTTAACACTTTTAAAATTTAAGAATATCTATAATATCACCATATAGGTATTGTTAATAAAATCCTGCATGTTATTATCATTTGCCACACCAATTATTGTAACTCTCTCCTAACCCATACTACCTCTCATACCTCTCCCTTTTCCCAATCCTTACATTGGATTCCTACAGTCTTTACAATTCAACTCATGAGACTAACACTTACCTATTTGGCTCTCAACAGCTTTTGCCCTCATTACATCTCTTCATTAATTCATAGGTACACTTCTTCTCTGTCATTTCACTCTGCCATTAACCTTCTCTTGTCCTCTGTTTGCATCTAATTCCCACCTTTGAGGATTTTTTTTCAATTCATATGTTACAATCTGCTTTGCCTGTCAGACATTCCCCTAGACTTCAGTCCTTTAAGAAGTCCCTTAAATTCATCCCTTGAAGTAAGTTCATAGCCTCCCTGGGTAATTTTACTTTCCTAAATCTGTCTGCCCATGTTCTCCTAATAAAATCAGTGGCCCAATGGTGGACATCACATTCTCACCTTTCAACTCTACTGCTTTCCCACTTGCTTACCTGTCAGTCGTATCACAAATGTACTTCCTCTTGTGTGTTCATATCTTACCTCCTCTACAGGTCCTCAATAACCTTGTTTTGTATTAATATTTGTAATAGTTTGTTAGTTTGCCTCTTATTTGTCCTTATATCCCTACATCAAAATTGCTGTAGATCCTGCTGAACCTAAATAATATATATAATATATTAAATAATAAGTTATGAATATGTATATATATTCATAATTTAGGTGCAGCAATATAGGAGTTAAACTGAAATGGACATGTCAAACACAATGCTTTTGCTTTGCCAAATTACAGCATCCCGCTGTGCATAGCACATTAGATGAAGTGCAGCATCTTGTCCAGTTATTTTATAACATTACACAGTGGGGAAGTAGACAGATGGTGCACACTGCAGTGTGTGCATTATACACAATAGAGTAGACAGATGCTTGACTTTTGCACTCCACAGTCTGGCATGTATTATGGAGTTTTTGAATTAGTATTTACAGTATTTAAGGGTTTTTGTATTTAGTGCCCCTAAACTCAAAAGGATTTCCTGCACGTGCAGCTATTATTACTGAATAAGCCTTGAGAAATACCATGTTAGCCACATACAGAACTCAGAAATGACTTCTACAGACTTGGTTCAAAAAGAGAGTATCTGTTCTCATATCAAGAATCTTGATGGGAGAATACACTGCATGACACCGAGAGCCGGGCCCAAGACACTGTGCTGCCTGGGTCCAAGAATGAAATGCTGCACCCCTCCCCCCCAAGTAAGTTTCTGCAATGGTAGTGTGTGCTGGGGATAAAATATGTGTCTGTATATGTACTGGGGATGAAGTGTGCATCTGACTGTGTGCTGGGGATGATATGTGTCTGTGTGTTTGCTGTGGATGAAGTGTGTGTCTGTGTGTGTACTGGAATGAAGTGTATGTCTGTATGTGTGCTGGTGATGTAGTATATGTCTGTGTCTGTGCTGGGGATGTAGCATGTGTCTGTGTGTGCTGGGGATGTAGCATGTGTCTGTGTGTGCACTGCAGCCAATACACTTACTGTGACGAAATGCATTTTGTCCCTGGATTGTTAGGTGACAAGCTGCCCTTTGCCCCCGGCTTTTGGAGGAGCCTGATTGCCAGCCTCCTTCCTCATGACTATGGCCCTGGGGTGTATTGCCATTTAAAAATACTATTTGGGGCTTATTGGCTTCTAAAGACAGTTTCTTGCCATTTGAATCCATGGGAAGGTGTGTTTCTTCCCCTCCCCCGTTTCCTGTCTATTGTTCTCCAGCAGGCCATTGTCCCAGGCACACTGCCAAACCAGTTGGAACTGACTGCTTTTGTCCCTCCTTGGTTTCTCAACAGCCCTTGCTATGCTTTACCCCGTGGAAAATCTATTCTGTTCATGGGATCTGAGCGCTGTTCACCTAGATTGGGCGCTCAGATCCGAGCTATCTGGGGATAGGTTAAATGTGGGGGTTCTGTGTAATAAAATAAGAATTATGTATTTTTATGTACTTTTATGTATTTTGCTGTTAGTGTTAAATGTAGATATTTTCTGTACCTGGAGATAATTGAGTTTACTGCAGTGCCTTAAGCCAATTATCTCCAGGATGGAGAGGAGGGATTTCATTGTGTATGTGAGAGTGTTATCATGTTAATTAGTGTTCCCATTGGTTTGTGTCCCTTTTGTCACAGTTTACTACCAGGTCCAGGGGGTGTGCCTCTGACCTGAAAACTTGTATATAAGGAGTAATAAACGCTCATTGGAGTCAGATCATCTTGTACCTTCATGAAGTTTCGACTCATGTTTGGAGGATTGGAGAAACTACACTCTGGGGATTGCTATAATCACTATACTCCCCAGGGTATAATCACTAAGCTCTGCTAAGAGCTTGTTCCTGTTCCTGCTCTCTGGAATTCGGAGAGAGGTCGACCTGCTGGAAGCTGGACCCTAGTCCTGGGTCCAGAGTGGGTGGAGACGGCGAGACCCCAACCAAGCTGCGGCGGTTTGTGGGGTCTGCAGTGGTTATGGTGTCAGGCAGAGTGCTTGGAGTCCTCGGAAAGCACTAGGAGCATCCGTCGGCGGAGGGTACTCGGTCGGGGTGCCAGCGGTTCCGTTACACTTACCTACAGTATACACTGTGTCTATGTATATGCATGTGTGTCAGTGTTTGTATTTGTGTGTCTGTATCTGTATATGTGTCAGTGATTGTATCTGTGTGTCTATGTATCTGCATGTGTGGCAGTGTTTGTATCTGTGTGTCTGTGTGAACCTCAGGGAAGCCACCCTCTGTAAAAGCTGTAGAAATGAGAGTGACTAAATGAAATACACATTATAATGTGTGTCAATATTTGTGTATGTGTAGCACTACATATGTGTAGAATTGTGTATGTAGCTGGGTGTGTGTTTCATGTGTTTGTGTGTGTATGTTTAGGAAAGTGTATGTTTAGTATTGTCTGTGCCTGACAGTATGGGTCTGTAACTGTGTGTATGTGCCTGTATATGTGTGTATATGTGTGTACCTGTGTGTGTATGTGTGTATCCTGTGAGGGTGTCTGGAATGCACATCACTTTATGAGAGCATATGTTGGAGTATCTCTGTCTGGTAGCCAGTGTTTGGAAGTGTGGGTCATAGGGTCCAGTCAGTGGTATTCTAAGGGGCCCTTAGAATTTTGATGGAAGCCCTTAGTGTATTTGAAAAAATATGTGATATGGCAGACAAGTGTCAGCTATGTTTTAATGTAGATAAAAGAAAAAATATGTATTTTAAAAAGAGTATAAAATGTAAAAGGGACACTATAATTACAAAAACAACTTTAGCTGAATGAACCCCTTTTGTGTATAGATCATGCCTCTAACATTTCACTGCTCAGTTAATTACCATTTAGGAGTTTGGTGGCTATAGTGTCCCTTAAATGTATATTCTAGGTAATGTGCTAAGCAGATTATAAAATAAGAAGAATCATGGAAATTGACAGACCTAGGAATATCATTAATTGTAAGTCAGCAACTGTAAAGTCAATTATCATTCCAGTGTGATTTGATTGCGGTCCTCCATTACTAGAGACTACTGCTTTTTTCTACTAGGGCCTTAACAGCTTGTTCACATTTGCCTTTAAACATAAAGTGGAACTGCAATAATAGGAAAAAAGACCTGAAAAAAAGTAACATGGACCACTAGAGAAAGTCGTGTGAGCCCTCAAATACACACACAATGAATGTCAATATTGTAAATAAAGCGAAGAAAAACTTAAACACTTAGTATCATCATAAAATTACTTGGTATGGAATTAATTCAGAGGAAAGATGATGTGGAGGAACAAGGAGATAGCTATGTTGGATAAGGAGGAGAAGATGATGAGGATGAGATATAAAGAAAAAGGTGGGAAGGTAGTTGAAGTTGATTTGAGAATGCAGATAAGGGAAGGGTAAGATAAGAATGATAGGAAGTGATGATGATAGATGGGAAGGGGAACATATGAAAAGTATGGGGAAGATGATGATGATTAAAAGGGGGAGATGATGATAAGTATTATATAGTATTTATACATTGAAAAGACCACTGAAGATAAATGGAATATCTTCAAACAAATATTCAAACGTCTATCTTCTGTCCGTACTCCCACCTCTGATGCTCGTCTTCAAGATTTCTCGAGGACTGCACCATTCCTATGGAACTCGCTTCCCTCCTCCATTAGATGCTCACCCAGTTCCATTCTCTCCATTCCTTCAAAAAATCGTTAAAAACCCACTTCTTCATAAAAGCGTATCACTTAAACTGTTAATAGCTCCTGACTGATTCCTCTTCTGCAACTGTCATTAGTCTAATACTATCCTTAACTTTTTGTGTCATTTTACCCCACTCCCTCTAGCACGTAAGCTCATTGAGCAGGGCCCTCAACCCCTCTGTTCCTGTGTGTCCAACTTGTCTGGTTACAACTACATGTCTGTTCGTCCACCCATTGTAAAGCGCTGCGGAATAGAGAATAGAGTGCTGACGGCGCTCTATAAATATCATAATAATAATAATTGGAAAGGGTATTTCTCAGTATCTATGATTAGGTAATATATATAAAAGAAACAAATTGAAACAAATGTGGCTTAGTGGGAAGTGAATCAAGAAATTAAAAATATGTAAAAATATGTCAAAGCCTTTAAATCAGACAAATTTAGTGGCATCCTATAAAAGATAAAAGAAAGCCAATAATTCGTGCAAAAAGGTTATTAGATTTGCTAAACTTCAAAATAAAAAAATGAGAGAGGAAAACGGACAACAAAGCATTTTTTAAGTACATGAATTCTAAAAATAAAATAAAAAAATATGAAAGTGCAGGTGCACTAAAAACAGGGATGGGGATGTTAGTTAATGAAGACCAGAAAAAGGCACAAATTTTAAATAACCATTTCTTCTCTGTACATATTAAGACAGAACCTATGGCAATAGGTGTGCAAATGATTGCTGCAAAAAACTAGCAGAAAAATTGTAATTGGATGACTCAAGACAAGGTGCTGCAGCAACTAAAGAAAGTTAATATAAAAAAAGCTCCAGGCTCTGACGGTATTAACCAACGAGTACTTAAGGGACTAAGTGACTAAGTGAACCTCCGTTTTTAATCTTTTCTTCAGGAAGAGTCCTGAAGGATTAAAGGAAGGCAGATGTGGTTCCTATATTCAAAAAGGGTTCAAAATCCTTCCCTGGAAATACTAGACCTGTGAGCTCAACTTCTGTGGCTGGGAAAATATTTGAAAGGTTATTAAGGACACAACTTCTGAAATAATATGGAATCATGACGGAATATTTCCGTCATGTGTCCTTAAGGGGTTAAGGGATAATATTCAAGAATTCCTTGTGAAGAATGTGGTTATCAGCAAAAATCAGCATGGTTTTATGAAGCATAGGTCATGTCAAGCTAACTTGATTGCATTCTACGAAGAAGTATATAGAAGTATAGATCAGGGTATTGCAGTGGAGGTGATCTACTTAGATTTTGCCATGGCATTTGATACAGTTCCACACAATAGATTAGTGTTCAAACTTGGTCTAGATGAAAATTCATGTTCTTAGGTAGAACATTGGATTAAAAATAGTGTACAGAGAGTTGTCATTCATTTTCAAGCTGGACAGAGATGGCAAGTAGTGATGTCCCGAACTGTTCGCCGAACGGTTCGCGAACGGTTCACCACGAACGGTTCGCCACGGACTCATCATTGAGTAAACTTTGACCCTGTACCTCACAGTCAGCAGACACATTCCAGCCAATCAGCAGCAGACCCTCCCTCCCAGACCATCCCACCTCCTGGACAGCATCCATTGTGAAGCAGCATTCTTAGTGAGCTGTCCAGGAGGTGGGAGGGTCAGGGAGGGAGGGTCTGCTGCTGATTGGCTGGAATGTGTCTGCTGACTGTAAGGTACAGGGTCAAAGTTTACTCAATGATGAGTCCGCAGCGAACCGTTCGTGGCGAACCATTGACGAACCGTTTGGCAAACAGTTCGGGACATCACTAATGGCAAGTGGTGTCACTCAGGGTTCTGATCTGGGACCCTTTTTATTTAACACGTTTATAAATGATCTTGAAAAAAAGCATTGAAAGTCATGTTTCAGTGTTTGCAGATGACACAAAACTCTGTAAGGTAATACAACATGAGCAAGATATTACTCCAAGGATAAATCTGACTGCCATTCTGGGGTCAAGAAGGAATTTTTTTCCTAGCTTGTTGCAAAATTGTGCTTCAAACTGGGTTTTTTTGCCTTCTTTTGGATCAACAGCAAAAAACAAATGTGAGGAAGGCTGAACTTGATGGACGCAAGTCTCTTTTCAGCTATGTAACTATGTAACTTTGCTGCAGAGGGTTTTAGATAGACTGGGAGACTGGGCACTCAAATGGCAGATGAAATTTAATGTAGAAAAATTAAAAGTTATGCACTTCGGCGTAAAGAATGCACAAGCACATTATACACTTAATGTAAGCAAATTAGGGATAACACACGAGAAGGATTTGGGAATTGTTATAGACAACAGACTTTGCAACAATGTGCAATGTCAATCAGCAGTGGCTAAAGCCAGTAAGGTATTGTTATGCATGAAAAAGGGCATAAATTATCGGAATGAGAATTAATTTTGCCTCTTTATAAATCACTGGTAAGACCACATCTTGAAAATGCTGTGCAATTTTTGGCACCGGTTCTAAAGAAGGATATTATTGCACTAGAAGAAGTGCAGAGGTGGGCTAAAAAACTAATAAAATAAATGGAACATTTAGCTATGAAGAAAGGTTAACAAATTTAAACCTCTTTAGTTTAGAATTTATGTTGCCTCACAGGGGATATGATAACATTATACAAATATATTCGGGCCAATACAAACCATTGTGTGGAACTCTATTCACAAACAGGACTATACATAGGACACAAGGTGCGTTTAGACTGGAAGAAAGAATATTTAGTCTAAGGCAAAGGAAAGGTTTTTTTTTTACCATAAGAACACTAAGGATGTGGAATTCTCTGCCTGAAGAAGTGGTTTTATCATACTCCATACAGATGTTTAAACAGCAACTAGATGCATACTTGCAAAAACATAACTTTCAATTATATAAATTTTTTAAAAGTAGGGTAATAGGTTCTTGATCCAAGGATAAATCTGACTGCCATTCTTGGATCAAGAGGGATTTTTTCCTAGTTTGTTGCAAAATTGGAAGCGCTTCAAACTGTTTTTTGTTTTTTTGCCTTCTTTTGGATCAACGGCAAAACACAAATGTGAGAAGGGCTGAACTTGGTGGACACATGTCTCTTTTCAGCCTATGTAACTAGGTATCTATAAATTTACATATAGTAGTCATAGGCATACATACTCTGTTGCATTATGCAATTGTTAATATATTACAACACACAACTATACTACATAAAAAATACAGGTTAGAATTTTACATCATTTTTATAAAGTAAGATGGTTAGAGGGGAGATGAGAATACGATTATGGGATGGGGAATAAAGTGAGTTTAGG